ATTCTCGCTGTACCTCTTTTTTGTATCTCTGGTTTTCTCTCTTCCGAGACAGATACCCTTCTGTCGACAGATTTTATGCCTTCTAAGAGACTAATTATACCCGGTACTCGTGGAGTAAAAGGGTATATTGTATTCGTGCAAAAGTATGTAACAGGTAGAAGGAAGCGTTTCCGACCCTATAAAGTATATATATTCTTGTTCAGGATCACTAGAAGATTAGCATTTTGCATGTAGATTTTAGGAGTTTCTACGCAGCGCAAGTTTGTTTCAAAATGGTGCCACCCCCCTCTGACGCCCACAAGCCACAAGCTGTGGCCACAGTTTTGATGCTATTATGAAAATTTTAATTGATATGTATTTGTTCCGTCAATACCTATCGATTGGCCTAATAAAAGTTTGCCACGCCCACTCTAACGCGCAATACAATAGCGCCATCTAACGGATGACTTTGGAACAGCTGGCCAAGGTGCTCAACAGAGTCATCGTTAATTCTCGATAAGGATTTCTATTAAAGGAAATTGCGATGGTTTTCATTTGTCAATACCGAACTATATCCCAAGAACTATGCAAATCAAATCAAGTATAGATAGATAGATAGATAGATAGATAGATAGATAGATAGATAAATAGATAGATAGATAGATATAGATTAATAAACTTATTTAGTAAACACTAAATGACACTTGTCTAAGATTACTGGATGCTCCAAATTCTGCACAGGAGTTCTGAAGTCTCCCTCCGACACGAAGGATAGGATGGTATAACGGATTCAATGACAGTATCCTATTAACATCCTTACAAATAGAAGGGAAAAATTGGATTCCTTCTTTATTTTAATCTGAAAGAATCTTGTGACGTATAGTATTATGCGTATATTTTGTTTGCTGGAAAGCTTCTTAAACAAATTATAATAGGATCATCGGAGTTATTATTTAAAATTGAATTGTTCAGTACAACTTTTGTGGATTGCTGGCGAGGCCAAATGCTTTTTGGACTCAGCTAGCCATATCGGACCTTTGCAGCAAAGATTACAGGTAATTATTTTTGAATAAAAAGTTTTTCTGAAATAGTCACATAAGCCAACCATCCCAATGGGTCATATATTTTTGATAATGTTGATAACACAATTTACTAACCGCAATTTACTTTGAATTTAAATAAATCCTTCTGAGGTTCCCATTGAAGCCCCAGGGTTTTAATGCTTTCATTTTTAACAAGAGTGAGAACTCTACAATCTCCTGTGCCCTCTACAGTTTTCATTATTTTTAAACTGTTGCTTGGAAGGAAGGCAGCTGTATAAAACAATTATAAATTTGAGCAACAATCTCGACTATGTCTCCCATGGCAGCCCTACGTACTGGCCAGCTGATCCCAAAAAACTTCCGGACCTAATTGACTTCGCTGTGACAAAGAACCTCCCAAGAAAGTAAGCGCCAAATCGCTATCGTTATCATGGGACCATTCGCTGGTTTTAATAACTCTTCTTCGAAGCCCCGAAGTAAGGCTGACTTCTCATAGAGCTAACTGGCTAATGTACAAGAAGTAAGGAAGTTCCCACATTGATCTAACCACCGCTCAACATTGATAATGACATCAACTGCTGATCTGATGCCCTGGAATCCGTACTCGTGGCAGCAGCCAAAATCTCAGCACAGAAAGAGACAATTGTGCGTACTAACCAAAAAACTGATCTGCAAATAGTAATACTTGTTCGGGAACAACGACGCCTACGACGCGCATGGTAATCCAGCAGATCGCCACAGACTTACAAACAAAAGAAGAGCTTGCGCAGCGCCGGTACATTGAGAAATTATCGCCGACCAGTACAAAACATCCTTTGTGGAGAGCTCATTCAAATTTAACCCCGCAGCGACAAAGACAGAGACAAAACTTTTGCCTTACACCTACGAAATGTATTTCAGTTAAACACCGCCACACATTTTTTGATGTACCGTCACATCGCACTGAAATTGCAAGTGAGCCGATTGTTTTTCGAGCACCTAAAATTGCTAATCTCATTAGAAAGCAATTTACACCAAAGAAGCCTCCCGGAGGTGACTTGATAACCAACAAAATGATAATGGAACTTCCCAACCTGTGCAGTCGATGTTATATGCAAACTATTTAACGGGATAACGGGATAATGATACCGAAGCCTGGGAAAGACCACACAATTCCCTTATCGTACAGGCCAATAAGTTTATTATCGTGCCTTTCCAAATTATTAAAAAAATGCCTACTCACGCGCATAAGACCATATCTAAGAGCTCAAAATGTAAAGCCACGGAACCATAGAGCAAGTCAACCGTATAAAAATTCGTAAAGCCTAAACATCCAACAAGTATAACATTGAAGCTGGCGTTCCACAAGGTAGCGCACTGGGCCATACTTTATTTGTCATATACACAGCACCCATTCCTACAAAGGAGGGGATGACTACGTCCACATTTGCTGACGACACCACAATCCTGAGCCGCTCGAGATGCCCAACTAGAGCAACAGCTCAACTAGCAGATCACTTGGTGGCGAATCAAAATTAAAGAACAAAAGTGTAAACATATAACGATTACTTTTAACAGACATTATTGCCCCCCGCTTCAATTTGAATAGTAGGCAGATCGCCCAGCCAGCGATGTAACAAATCTTGGCGTCCACCTCGACAGACGCCTAAAATGGCGGAGGCCCAGTGAATGCAAGAAAATACATCTGAAACTTAAAGCTAGTAGCCTACTCTGGATTATAAATTCTCGTTCTTCTCCGTGTGTGGACTTCAAAGTTCTGCTCTACAATTCCACCCTTAAACCAATTTGGGCTTACGGTTCCCAGCTTTGGGGGAACTGAAGCAACAGCAACGTCATACAGCGCTCACGATCACAAATCTTGCGAAAACATCCACAGGGATCTTGGCATACCGCCTGTTGAAGATGAAATATCAAAGCAGAATGCGGCCTACAACAAACTTACACTGCACCCAAATAAGCTCGATCAGCCCATCAATAACACAGGCCAACAATTTTTAGACCCAAAAACTGGACACGCATTTCTTATGCGAAACGCGCTGAATCCAAATACAAATTTTTAAATACGGTTATTCGTAAAGTTTCTGTAAATAACTATTCTTATTTTGGTTTGGGCGTTAAGGGGTTCAATAAAAATATTAAAGTGGCATTCTTTAAATGGTCATATCTCAGGAACGAATAGTCGTATTTAAAAAACTAGAAAAGAATTTTAAAGGTTAGGTTGTGCACTTTGAGGTAAAATTGGTGCTAATGTTCAAAATTTGGATTTGGATTCAGCGCGAAAAATTGCATAAGAAAAAGTGGGTCCAGTTTTTGGGTCCGGGATTTTCTAAAATTTTGTTGGCCTGTGTAATTATTTGTCTAATGTCAATCTTCATGACTGTTAGTTAAGTTTTATTTTTAAGATTTGATTTACTTATTGTTAGTCTCATTAAAGAGACTATCCAATAAATAAAGGATATATGTACCCAAAAAGAACCACAATACTCGCAAAGAACGCCCATTTGCCCAATGCAAACGCTAGGATGGAAGCTGCAGTCGTATCGAAACGCAGCTCGATGCAAATCAACACTTGATAAATCCCTTGTTCTGCGTCGCACATTAAATATCTGTTGACCTCTGTTGTTCGCTCGTCGATTTTGAATTGCCAACCGAGCCGATTCACGGATCTGCCGAACTTTGGTCTTGTGATTGAGAAGCACGAAGTCGAGCCATACTAACGCGGCGTTGTACACTTGCAATTTCTTGTTCTTTTTAAATCCTTTCATTACCGATTTGTAGGGAAAGATTCGATCGTCTTGGTCGCGGCATAGTTAATTAACCTCCTTAGAACGTAGTTGGGCTTGGGTTAACCTAATGGAAGTTAAAGGTTCCCTTTCTATTTTGACATATATACATGTCGACGCAATACTGCTGAAACAATCGACGAAACCGAAATGATATTGATACTCACCATTCATTTCGATATTAAAATAATATCCATCTTTTTCTTGCCAAAACATCACATATTTGTTGGAGTTGCCCAGTATCGCCACGTTTAAGCACAATATCGCCTGTTTCCAATTGCTCACCAATAATTAGGATGACAACTTATTCTATTGTTGGAGACGGTTGTTTATCTGCTTTGGCAAGTTTTATCAATTTATTTATACCCCAGCAGCAGTTACGAAAATTAAATATTCTATAAAACGTCCATATTTTGATATTTTTAAGTACCGTTCCTAGGCAATACAACTGTCCAATTTTATAAAAAACAAGAAAGGAAGCAACCTTCGGTATGCTGAAGTTTTTATACCCTTGCAGTTATTACAAAACGACTACGTTTCGATTTCTACGCTTATACATATTTCTAAAAACAATGCAACTATGTCGATTTTGCGCTGCATTCTGTCATCGTTTTTATGCCATCTACATATATGCTATTGTTGTCCGATTTTGACAAAACTAAAAGCGTAATTCTGATATAGTAAATAATTACTATATCTCAAAGGAATATTTTGATAAATAGTAAAACATCAAAATAAAAATATAGATCAAGAACATACATATTTTATAGGGCCTGGAGACATTTCCGGCCTGTTCCGAATACCTGCAAAATAAAGAATCCTTTTGTTCAGTTTCACTCATTCAACTTTAAAGCCTAGTATCCAGATCGACGAAATCCGTACGCCAGTCATGAGAGAAGCGAGAGGCAAACAGCTGGCGTTCACTTTTCGTCGGGCCTTTTTTCACGTCGGTCCACAGATCGACGAAAAAATACCAGAAAATTCCATAGCGTTGCCAGTCTGCGGAAATGAACTTTGGGTGGACCCTCGTCGAGACGACGTCTCGTCGTTCGTCTTTCTTCTCTCTTACTTCTCGTCTTTCTTCTTTACTTCTTTATGTCGTTCTTGCATTTCGTCGTTCGTCAGCTCAAAAAGGTTGTTGTGTAGGGTAAACTTATTGTGTAATGATTGCTACCCAAAGCAGACACACCCCACAGTTATTTATTATATTTATTATCTAATACATTTAAGAAAGAGAAGAAAATAGTTAACAAAAAATAAGTTACACCTACTCGAATTAAGTAATGTACAGCCAAAAAGAAATTAGAGCGCTTACTAAACATTAAACACTTAACGATAATTAAGAATACATAACCGCCATTATAAACATAGTAAGACCAATCATATTATGAAGAGTTTGTACAAAGTTTACTTCGATGTAAGTACAATTTTGCTGGATGGTATATCTTACAGTTATATGGCGAAACTATATAGGAACAAAATAGTTTTGACTAAATCCCTTACAATGATTATTATGCATTTTTTAAAACTAAGCAATTGGCAATACTAAAATGTACAAAGGTATCGGCGAGATTTTATCGCACTTTTTATTAACTATATTTTATTATTTCAAGAAATTTTCTATAGAAATCCAGGAAATTTTCCAAGTTGCATATCATGATTTTGTTCAGCACGCAAACTGACATATGTGGGCTGGTCTATTTCCCAGTCGGTACAATTATTTGGTTCGTAAACTTCAGTTATGAGTGGCCAATTATCTATTTTCGAAATGTCGTACTCCAGGCGCATGTATTTTTGCTTCGATGTGACCCAGTTTTGATCCCGCTTAACTTGGTATTTTTTGAAGACTAAATATTCAACTAAAAAGGACTCGACAAAAACATGACAAATAAATGCTGCTGCTCCGTAAACAAGCATAATGTAACGAAAGCTCATAACAGGAGGTACAATTAGCTGAAAAAAATTGGCTGCCCAGTCGCTGGGGTATATAACTAAATAGACTATGACGCAAGCATTTACAATAAATGCTAAACAGAGTGGCCAGTTCGACCATAGCGGTTTACGATAAGGCGCACCCTTTGAAAACACAAAAGCAAGTATTATGTACTGGAAACTAGATATGCAAAACATGGTGTAATTTTCATAGCAACCCAAATGTTCCTCGTCCGCATGCTGAAAAGGTTTAAACCAGGGCTGTTGATGAAGATGAATCCAACCTAAAAAAGTATGATAAAATTAAAAAAAAAACTATTTCTTTTAGTTTTCATCCATATACTTACCAGTTACCTGGAATCCTGTTACAACAGTAAGATGTATTAATAGAGATGCTAGTGGCGTGGACGATATCAATGAACTGAGTGGCACTTGTTTTACTAGATTTCCATCAAATGCTTCAGTTTTACCAAAAAAGAAGGCAAATATCGATATCAGCCCAAGATCTACATAAAGATACTGCTTGTCGGTAAGATTCGAGTCGATGGAATACAAAATCATTACAGATATAAACTGAACCAGCGAGTAAGCTGCCATATACTTGAAAATACCGAAAGATGTGACTAATGCAGCGCGTCCTTCTTTTATAACATTTAAAACTGCCGAAATCGTGGGATTGCGTGAGGTAAACGGCGACGCTATAGACGCTTCGGTCTCGCTCAAGGAAATACCAGCATGAGCAACTTTCAATGCACCACAGTCGTTGGCACCATCACCGCACATGGCAACGCAATAGTCCAAATTTTGAAGTTCTATAATTAGTGCCTGTTTCTGATCCGGCGACATTCGAGCGTAAATTGATCCCCGCGTTAAAAGAATTTCCATTTCCTCGGGAAAATGGTCTTTTACTATTTGCCAAGTTTTACCATCCATTGCAAATATATAGTGTTGGCGCCAGCTTTCGTCTTGTGGGCGTTTTATTCCGAGCTCAACATCAATATCGGATCCCTCATTGTGGGTCCAAGTGTCGGTGGTCTTTACACTGGCCAAACTATCACTTGTCGGCAAAACACTTTCTGCATAACTTGAGCTCAATTCATTAACTAATGAATTCGTCGACTCTAGGCGAAAAAGTGTTGAAGCACCATCGACGCTACATACACTTGTACCATTTTCGTTGGGAAAAACATTACCATTAGCAGTCGATGTCAAATGAGAAGACGAAGAGATTTTACTTCCCAAATCTAAAGTATACTGTAACTTGTAGTGTATATCTTGATTTTTATCAACAATACATTCAGATCCAGTGGGGTTGGTCTGAGTATGCGCACCATCATTAAGGGAATCTGCGTGCACTGTAATAACTGCTTGTGATGTACTTACGATGCCACAGTCACGAGCAACGCTCATGGCGGTTAATATGTTATCGCCAGTTATCATAATAGTTCGAATATTGGCTGAGTTTAGAGCACTGATAACTTTAGCAGTATCATGTTTTAGACGGTTTTCAAGTATAACGAACCCAAGAAATTCCAGATTGTTTTCAACCTCTTCGCGGGATAGTCGCTGTATTTTTGTATAGTTCATCTTGTGGGCAAGAGCTTTGAAGGCAATGGCAATAACTCGGTATCCTTTTTTGGCAAATGCCGATAATTGCTGGGAGTAATTGTCGGGTAAGCTTTGCGGAGTGCACAGCTTTTGCAACATCTCAGGGGAACCTTTGCAGTAAATATTAAACACTTGGTCGCTGAGACAACGAGTAATAACAGACATTCGCTGAAGACTCGACGTAAATGGAAATTCTCGAACGATACCATGATCAAAATTCTTTTGAGTATGCGAGATGCCAACAGTGGCAAGTAAATCGTCTACAGAGGATTGTCGTTTAATTTGAGCTTTAGTTCCCATATCTAGGGAAGTAGAATCGGATCCACAAATTCTTGGTTGTCTTAAAATTGTTGGGTAAATAATACCATATTTCTCATTATCTGGTATGTTACTAGAATCTTCTAGTGTCCAACCCGTTGATTGAAACATTTTTAAATCCAACGGATCTCCCATCATTGTGCCTTTCATTACTGTGATAGAATGACACGTTACCATGCAGAAAAGAAAATGATCATAAGGCAGACGCTCCACATCTTTTAAGGGTATTTGAAATTGATTAGTTGATGATTTTGGCACAACCCCCCACATATCCAGTCCATCTTCAGTAAGAGTACCAGTCTGAAAAAATGAATAAATAAATAAAAAGTGTGTATATTATATTGTATATGAATAGTTCATAAAAATTCATCTTTCTTTTCAACCGCATTTGATTTTTAAATGCTTTTACTTTTGTGTAGTTTGCATTACAATACACAACATTCGCCAACTAATTTTTTTGGCATAAAGTCGTTAAATGGATAAAAAGATATACAAAAATATATTAAAATATTATAAAAGTAGTTAAGTTATTCATAGTAAAATCACTTTGTTTAATAGTGCGGCAAACCCTACATATTTGTGTGCTTCTTAAAGTCAACTGATTAACGATACTTCTGGCACGTGCAAATGTGCTAAACGATTGTTTACGAATGTTTACTAATCTATTCCTCCTGGAAAATTTAATTTAGTAAGAACTTATGTGAACAATTTGCTATGCTAAGTATGCTATCCAAGCTAGTCCCTTTCAATAACAACAGGTGCGGGCTCCGCCCGAAGTTAGCTTTTCTTTCTTGTTTCTTATTGAGACCACCAAGATTTACTTAAATCTTTTTTAACGTTTCTACACCTTTAAGTGTTTTTTAACAACTTTATGTTCGCTTCGCGAGTGCATCGTGCTTAACTTGTGTTTAGAAAATAAAAAGTTTTTATCATTTAATTCGGTGCTGGTTTGTTGTTATTGTTTTCTATTGCCTCCCTTTTCATTCTTTCTCTTCGTCTTTGGGCGCTGTTGGAACGGCACGCACTCTAATGGTAATATCTCTCTGAGGTATCTTATACCGGAGTTAATTGGTTAATAATCCCCCTCTCTCTCTCTCTTTTCGTTTCTATCTCGTTTCGTGGTGCCTAACATCAAAGTTTATCGGTGTTTCGCTCCCGCTCTGTCGCTCTCCTTGCTCTCTCATTAAAAAGTTCTTGAGCGCTTTCGATTTTTTTGGCCGCTATAGTGCACAGTGGTCCGTGGTCAGTGATAATGGCTTTCTGTTCATTAAAAATTGAAAGAAAGTTATCTCGGCTGGACAGCAAAGTACCGGCCGATACTGATAGTACAGATACAAATTCTGTAGGACCAAAAAGGGTTGCATGTGTTGTACCAAAAACGGTTACTTGTGTTCGGGTGCCTCAGCTAAAACATGTATTTGTTTCACGGCTTGCCCCAGACCTCTCATCACTGGATATTACGGCTTATATCCGTAACAAAATCCAAGTTGATGATTTGAAGGTCGAACAATTTAAATTTTCTTATGCTAGGAAAGTATCATCATTTAAGATTAGTATTCCTTGTGTTCTTTTTGCATCTGTGTGCTCCACCAGCTTCTTGTCCGAGGGCATATTTGTAAAAAAGTACGAAGCTATGAGAAACAAGAGAAACCGCTATAGTCGAGTGCCTCGACTATTAGATACCCGTTACTCAGCTAAACAACTTAATATAAATATGCCTTCTTGTACAAGAAGGTTGTTGTTGCAATTGCAACTGAGTACAATGTAAATACATACATATGTATATGCTTACATAAATACACACATACGCCATTGTTTGACTCAGACCTCCAATTTGGCTAACTTGATTTGATTTGCATAGTTCTTGGGATATAGTTCGGTATTGACAAATGAAAACAAATGAAATTAGCGTTGACTCTGTTGAGCACCTTGGTCAGCTGTTCCAAAGTCATCCGTTAGATGGCGCCATAAAAGGCGGAAATGTAGGCGCTAGCCAGGCTAAAGCGTTTAATGGGTTTTTGAGCGTTAGAGTGGGCGTGGCAAACTTTTATTAGGCCAATCGATATTTATTGACGAAACAAATACATATCAATTAAAATTTTCATAATATCATCAAAACTGTGGCCACAGCTTGTGGCTTATGGGCGTCAGAGGGGGCGTGGCACCATTTTGAAACAAACTTGCGCTGCGTAGGAACTCCTCAAATCTACATGCAAAATGCCAATCTTCTAGCTTTTATAGTTTCCGAGATCTCAGCGTTCATACGGACAGACAGACGGACAGACGGACAGACAGACGGACAGACGGACATGGCTAGTTCGACTCGGCTAGTGATCCTGAACAAGAATATATATACTTTATAGGGTCGGAAACGCTTCCTTCTACCTGTTACATACTTTTGCACGAATACAATATACCCTTTTACTCTACGAGTAACGGGTATAAAAAGAATAGTATAGGGGAAATAAAAATTCCATTAAAGAGCCATCCCCAGCGCCCTCCACATCCACTTTTATCCCAAAAAACTAGCCTCCTCCCGACGTAACCCCCAATTATCGATGCCCTTAAAGAAAATGGGTTTTCTGGAAAGAACGTTAGTAACATCATTAACAGGAACAAAAAGCCGCAACCACTCTTCAAAGTAGAACTGGAGCCAGACAGCAGAGTCTTGAAGAAAAATAAAGTGCACCCCATCTATAAACTGCAATACCTATTGTACCGAATAATTAAGGTGGAAGAACCCTGTGAAATGTACAAACTTTCAGGAGTATGAACACACGGGGACATACTGCACACTTCGATCAGTATGTGTAGTTTGTGGAGACTTTCACAATTCCGCTAATTGCCCTGCCAACAAGGAAGACCCCCAAAAGAAAAAATGTGGAAACTGGGGAGGAAATCAAGGAGTTGAAAGACCGCATGCGACGAGTGACAACAACGCGCCAACCAAAACACTCAAAAACGACGCCGGAAGTATTTTTCGGGACGGCTGCACGATCCTCATTTGGTCAGCTAAATACCCAGAAGGAACGAAAAACCCACTCCACTCTAATCTGGGAGACGTTCAGCAGGTCCCAGGACAGTCACAAAGCCCACTGGAAGATATGATGGTTACTATGCAACAAAGTATGACGGAATTTATGTCCTTCATAAAAACGACCATGCAAACACTGATCCAGAAGATGGTGTTACAGTTGCTTGCAGCTAAGCAGTCCAAATAATTGATGGCAAATCTACGAATAACCATGTGGAACGCCAATGGCGTTTCCCGGCACAAACTTGAAATAGCACAGTTCCTAAATGAAAATCATATCGACATTATGCTACTGATAGAGACGCACCTCACAAACAAATACAATTTTCAAATAAGAGGCTACACCTTCTACCGCACAGATCATCCAGACGGTAAAGCCCACGGCGGAACCGGCATCCTAATCAGGGAACGCATTAAACATGACTTTTACGAAAGGTTAGCAACTAATTACTTGCAGGCCACTTATATCAAAGTGTAGTCAGGTAACGGACACCTTTGCCCGCCTCGCTTTACCATTTCTAAAGAACAATTCATGGATTTTTACAACATACTTGGATATCGCTTCATAGCTGCAGGAGACTATATTGCCAAACTTACGCACTGGGGATCACGACTCGTGACTCCCAAAGGAAGTCAATTATATAATGCAATCACTTGACACGTGATTACATTTGTTCTAATGCTTAAAATGAAAAAACAAACCACTTGCTCCTGATAGAATGATAAAAGAAGATAAAAGAATTTAAGTACTAAACAGAGTTCAAACGATTGGAAAACACAATGTCGATATTTTTTGTAACCTCACATAAGCACATGGACCAATAAGAAATGTGTAAGAGTACTACCATCGAATCCAAACCTATCCCCGGGTAAGACATACTAAATGTCTGTGGTCATACTTTAAATAAATTTGACTCGAAATGTTGATAGATAGATTTATCTAATGATACGAACCTTGTCAAAGCAACAGCAGTTTATGCTTCCTGCTACGTTTATAGACCGTGGGGAAATGCAAAATATTTCACTAGCCTTTAACCGCTTTTGTGCATAAAATCGACCGACGGTCATTGCCGCTGGTAGTGCTGGTGGGACTACAATTGTTATAAGGTCCAGAGATTCAACTGCTATTTTAACGGGATCCGTTCCACGCAATATCTAAGAAGATACAATCGAAAATTTATTTGTCTTTATTAATTGATATAAAATAACTTACTTTTGTTACAAGCGTATAAATAAATCCAATACAAGCAATTAATGCCAAGAACTGAATAAATTTATAAGAATCTTGTTCAAACTTGTAGTCTACAGGTGGGGGGTAAAGAATAGATCGTATTAGTTCCCCTTTGGCTGTTATGTTCCCAGTGTTTATCACAAATGCCAATACTTTTTTTGATCCAATATATCGAGTCTGAATAACCTTTGTACCACTAAATAGTGTATGCCTGGCATGCTCTGTTTTATCGAATATCATTTCACGTTTCGATGGCAATGGAGTTTTGGTCACTGGTACACTTTCGCCAGTAAGCATAGACTCATCTAAAATACAGTTTCCTGATAATAATACTGCATCGCACTGCATAGTACAGCCTGAAGAAGGTATTTCAATTATGTCTCCCGGTACTAGGACACGCGTTGGAAACTCTTTGGAGAGACCTTTATGATCAACAACACAAACATTACCAGTGTCATATACTGTTTTTTGAAGCACATCTTGATTCTAAGTAAACAATTAATTAAAAAAGATTTTAAGAATTTTGTATCGTTATACTTGCCTTTTTAGTTTGCAAAATAGATACAGTTATACCGAATATTGACATCAAAAGTATTACGCAAGCGTAGTAGTAGTAGTCATATGTGAACCATAGAATCACTGAGAATATTTGAAAAACGTAAAAAGGGTTAAGTACTTCCAAAAAAAGCAATGTTTTTATATCTCGCAGTGGCACAGTTATTTGATTTTCCCCGAAAACTACTCGTCTAGAAATCTGTTCATTCAAGGTTAATCCACGTTGTTGGTGATAATATGAGCAAGGAACATTTAAGTCGAGACCATTTATCCTTTGGAAACAATTCAGACTGTTGTTCCAAGCGTAGACCAATTGCTTGCACCGAAATATACGTAAAGATGAACATTCTAAAAATATAATTCATTGGATATATTGTAATTTCTTTATATGTTTGTATACTACATACTTTTGAACTGCGCAGAGGTAAAGTGAACCGATAGTTGCAACGCGTTTTCAACATTTTCACTTTCTAAACTCATGACTTCTGTGCCCGACAGGTCCTTAAGCAACAATGCCCTGATAAAATGCTTTGTAGTTTAGCAACAATGGTTTTTTGTTAATGCGAATCAATTTTTACTTACTTAAGGTGGTTCACAGTTAGAACCTGAATTTTCTTTACGTGATACAGTTTGTGCTTTCCTTGATAATCCTCTGTTACCAAAACTTGTTCTGCCTCCTCCAATGAACATTGAGAGCATGTGGCAAATAGGTACAAATGGCGCCACCAGTATAAAACGAGTCGCAGTAGACCACCAGTTAAAATAATACAAGCCCAGCAAAAAACAGTTCGTATATGAGAACGACGGTAGCCGCATATTTTCATCTGATCTTCCTGATCTTGATTCAAAATTCCAGTACATGGTTTAGTATCTAAAAAAATTCAAAATTAAATTAAGAAACATTTTACAATAGGTACGTTAATATCTTTTAATATTTTGTCTTTCTTTACTGTGTTAAAATGCATACCTCTTGTCACTTTGTGGTTAATCATAATTTTGTTCTACCAAAATGGAAATAAAAAAAATCATAAACCCAAAACACAATACGAAATATGTACCTAAATTTCTTCTGATTTACACAGAAGGGACACGTACATTTTAAAAATATACCAAGTCTTTATGTCTTACTATGTGAAATTAATTATGTGTTAGTAACTGTTAAAACCTTACTCTTAGATTTTGAACAATGACTTTTTAAATATTTAGCAAAATCAAAACAAAATGTTTAGAATTACATGTAATGTAACAATGTCTTGAAACGCAGTGCGTTATGTCGATTAGCTAGGGCTCGTAAACGAAAAAAAATTAAGACAAATTCAATGAAAAAGTTGAAGCCACGAGCTGCTGGCGAAACGGCTAATCGAAAAGGCAACATCAATAGATAAAAACGAAATGATAAGAGTCCGAATCGGGCACTTGTTATTGTTTGTTAGCTTTGAGCAGTCACTCTTTTTGCCCTTCATGTTTTATTTTTTCCTTTATGCGTTTATATGTTTATTGGACCCTCGTTAATTTTTGTAGGTTGAGTGTTGTTTTGTGTAAAAAATACTAAATAATCAACAAAATGTTTTCACTTTTACATACAAAGTTAATTGAGAATATATACTAATTTTGACGCACTTGTACACACATTCACCCAGTCCATAACGAATAATAAGTAACAATATTCATCAATTAATCCACACAAACGTATGTACACACAAACTTATATGAAAATATTTTCATATGTGCAGGCAGCCCACATATAGCATTGATCAATTCTTGCACATACACAAGCAAAGAAACGTTTGCAAGCTGCTTCGACATTTTTATATTTATACATGTATGTATGTATGTTAGTCAATTTATTGTTTTTGAAAGTTATACTTTACTTAAGTGCGTTCATACATATGTATGTATATAAACCCCTTGCTTTGATGGTACTCTTTGGTATACGCTTACATACATAATTGATGAATGAATCCACAATTATAAGTGGTTTAATTGAAACTACATACATACATATATGTATATATTAATATGTATATTGTATTCAAAAGCACATTCTGAAGACGGACAATTTCTTGCACACATTTCCTTGAACCAAATATTGAATACAACATTCGTCTAAACTGTTACACACCTTCCCAAACGAAGTGTTATATATATTTGCAGATAATAACAAGAAAACTAAAAAATTTTTTCATGGTTTTATATATTTTTTTATTTAACTATAAATATATACTGACAAAAAGCATGTAAAATTATTTTCAATTAAAAAGATGTAATTAAAAAAAATAAACAATATATAATTTTTTTTAAATTTAAATTAAATTAATTTAAATTTTGTGAAAGCCAATCTTTAGTGTGCGTTGATCGCCATGTTTTTGTGGCAACAGGTTTTTAAGCTCAACAAAGTGAATGTATGTATGTATGTACATACTTACATATGTTTATCGGCGGTGACACAGAATTTTTTGATGAATATAGGGTTTAAATTTGTATATACATATGTACATCATAAGTACATTCCAATTCGAACTGAAAACAGTTCTGTGATTTTTCGGTCGAATGTTTCAGTTTTTTGCCTGCATTCTTGTTAAAAATACGCACATAACCGTAAAGACATATTTGAAAATTAAAAAAACTAATTTTTTCCGGATGTTTATCTCATCAATGAAAGGATCATCAATAGTAATTGTGATCTTATACATATATTATAAGTTTAAAGCCGGAATTTTAGATTTACCTATTTATTTTAATTTGCAGCTGAGGTTTAGACTTGCACTATTATTTTCGAGGTTCGTAGGACCAAAACATAATAAGGTTGGATGGGACAGAAATCTCTTTACTTAAAATTCGGCTAATATGTACAGTGGCTCACAGCTTTTTTCGAGCAGATATAAAGTTGAAATTCCAACTCAAATAGCTGGCAAACTTTACCGAATATGAAAGTTTTTGTTCTTAAAAGCACAATTGACATTGACTTACAGTCAACACAATATTTATTCGGACACCCGTGATTTTGAATTTGATTCATTAATAACTCAACAAAAACGTAACGAAAACAAACAATTTATATTTCATCGTGAAGGTTAACATTCTTAGAATATATTTTAACAAAAAAATAAGGAACTTTCAACAGTAAAATTAGATATTTTCTTAAATGAACATGAAAAGTCATAATTTTACGCACAGAAATTATTCGTACACTTCATATAATATTAATGAAAAAACATATTTCTTGTTGTTTTAATATTTTTAATATTTGGTGGGTCCTTCACTAACATCAATGACAGCTTGTAAGCGTCGACCCATGCTTTTTACCAAATTGCTTGTCTCATTAGCGCTAATTTGACCCCATTTAGCCATCAATGCAGTTTTTAAGGACTCCCTGGACGAAATGACGTGCTTCCGAATCCTTTTCTCAAGAATATCTCACACATGTTCTATGGGATTTAAATCAGGTGACTGGGGAGGTGTTTTCAGCTGCTTGCAGTGATATAAAAGCCACTCTTGCACCAAAGACGAAGAATGTTGTCTTGTTGAAACAACAATGTCTTCGGATATAGACCAAGTTTTATATCACTTGGAATCAAATTTTCGCTTAAAATGTTTTTGTACATATTCTTATTAATTTTGTCGTCAATAAAGACCATTTGACCGACTTCTCCTACCGATACACACCCCCAAATCATTACATTCCCGCCACCATGCTAAACAGTTGGAATTAAGTTCTTCTCATTCATGGCTTCATTTGGTTTCCTCCACACTTTCAAGGGCCCATAGTGTCCAAATATGTAAAATTTGGATTCGTCGCTAAAAACTACGTTCTCCCAAAACGAATCCGGGTGGTTATATGCAGTTTTCCAAACTCCAAACGCTTTTTTTGTTGATGGCAGAAATTAATTGCTTTCGACGAGCAACTCTGCCATGTAAACCAGCCTTGTACAGGTAGTTTCGGATGGTTTGGGCTCAAACTTTTTTATTATTGCTCGATGTACATTCTTTTGAATTGTTGTAGATGTTGTTTTCGGATTTTTCAGGACTGTAGACATAAATTTCCGTCCCTCACGTGAATACAGAATCTTAGACCTTCTAGCTTTCTTGTGATTTGAAGCTCATTATTCCGTTTTTAAGTATTTTTGGATTATACTATGTATTGTGGAAGGTGATTTTCCATTAATACGACCGATTTCGCGATAACTACGATTTTCCAAAAATTAATTTAAGATAGATTTTCGAAAATCTAGTGACAAATCTTTAACTCCTTCCATTTTGACCAATCGTATCAAAAAAACACATAAAAACTAACAAAAAACAAAAAAAAAGCACGCCGAAAATTACTCCGAAGTAATTTCAACTAAACTACCTTAAAAAGAATCGCCGATTACCGTTGCGTTCAGAAATAAACACAATAAATGAGAAATGTACGAATAATTTTTGTGCAACATTTTAGCAATTTTTTTGCTTTCCTTTCAATATTTTTAAAGCTAATTTAAAAAATTAAATTTTTGTTTGTGTAATGTCTTCTGAAAATCACTCTTTCTATGATACGTACAAAAAAACCTGCTAAAATTACGAAAATTCCGGCAAATAAGCTGTTAAACTTGATAATAGACAGTGTCCGAATAAATTTTGTGCTGACTGTACATAGCAAGGCCACATATATACACTCCCCCGCATATCTCTGCGTACACCCCAAAAAAAATTTCAATATCGAACTTTTAACCCTAGTGTTCGGCCATTCTTTTTTTAAACATAATTATAATTTTTTGTCTTTAATGACGTATTTTTAAATTATTCAACAGTGTCTTATATTTTATTTTTGATTTTAAACTTAACACTACCAAAAAGTCTGCGTACACCTATTTTAAACATAAATAATATTATTTTTAGTAACTGGTAGGGTATCCTTTTCTCTGCAAAACTTCCGTCAGGCGTCTCGGCATGAACCTTATCAGCAGTAATTTTCCCCCACTCCTCCAGAATCACATTCTTGAGCATTTTTATACCCTTGCAGAGGGTATTATAATTTTGGTCAAAAGTGTGCAACGCAGTGAAGGAGACATCTCCGACCCTATAAAGTATATATATTCTTGATCAGGATCACCTCCTGAGTTGATATAGCCATGTCCGTCTGTCCGTCTGTCTGTCCGTCTGTCTGTCCGTCTGTCTGTCCGTCTGTCCGTCTGTCTGTTTCTACGCGAACTAGTCTCTCAGTTTTAAAGATATCGAATTGAAACTTTGCACACACCCTTCTTTCCTTTGCACGCAGTATATAAGTCGGAACGGCCGGGATCGGACGACTATATCCTATAGCTGTCATATAACTGAACGATCGGAAATGCCATAACTTTGGTGTTTGTAAAGTTAGGAAGTTGAGATTTTCTATAGGTTTTATTTTTGGCCAATCAATCTGACCTACCGAATTTCATGAGAATCGGCCGACTATATCTTATAGCTGCCATATAACTGAACGATCGGAAATGCCATAACTTTGGTGTTTGTAAAGTTAGGAAGTTGGGATTTTCTATGGGTTTTATTTTTGGCCAACCGATGCGACTTACCAAATTACATAAGAATAAGCTGACTATATCCTATAGCTGGCATATAACTGATTGATTGGATATGCCATAGCTTTGGTGTTTTTAAAGTTAGGATGTTGGGATTTTTTATGAGTATTAAGAATGCATCATATGAATAATTTTGGAGAATATAATTTACAGAGTATTCTGCAAGGGTATATCAACTTCGGCTCCGCCCGAAGTTAGCTTTCCTTTCTTGTTTTAGATGTTATTGCGTGTCTTCGGATTTTCCTCTCAAGAAGATCCCACAAATGCTCAATTGGGTTTAGATCAGGACTCTGGAGAGGTGTTCGCAGCTGATTTT